CTTATTCCGTAAACTAGGAGTTGTTTATCCCATTGTACAGCGCTACGGAATTTGCAGTTGCTATATAAATGATTAAATAATAACTTTAAAGGGTCACTACGGGGAAGGGATTTTACTTACCTGGATACAGCGCCGGGATCCTCCTGATGCCGCACCCCCTATTTCATCAAAATGACTTAATAGGAGGGTGCGAGCAGGGAGCAATAAAACGCTTCTATTCAGAAGCGTCATTGCTCTCTGGTGCGCATGCGCAGCTTTGCCGCACATGCGCAGATACTTCATAGGGCGGCATTCATGTCTCGACTAGGAAGCACCTCTAGTGGCCATCTGAGTGTCCACTAGCGGTATTCCTCATCAGTAATGTAAATACTGCCTTTTTACGAAATGGCTGTGCTTACATTAAAAAGCCTGCAAAGACATGCTATAGACACCAGAACTACTACGTTTAGCTGTTGTGGTTCTGGTGACTATAGTGTCCCTTGAATATAGAGAGGAAAAAAGAATCATCACAAATGTAAGAAATAAAATGTCTGTATCATTATTCTAAAAATTATTTAAAAAAAATAAAAAAATATGCACATTCCTAGCTTAATTTTTAGCGCGACATATGACACAAACATTTTGTACTTTGCAGATTACTTTTTATATTTTTTTATACATATACAGATTGTGTAATACTGCCCCTGACTTAGGGTGACCACATTTCCTAACTGTCATTCAGTGACACTGTCAGAAATGCATTCCATACATTTTACTACCCGTCTCTACCCCTTCCATTTATATTAGAACCCCACCTACCCCTTCCATGAATATTAGAACCACCCCTACCCCTCCCATGAATATTAGAACCACCCCTACCCCTTCCATGCACAAAAGAACCCCACCTACCCCTTCCACGCATATTAACCCCCCTACCCCTTCCATGCATATTAGTACCCCCTAACCCCTTCCATGCATATTAGAACCCACCCTACCCCTTCCATTCATATTAGTACTCCCCTAACTCCTTCCAATAATTTTTCTACCTCCCCCCTCCTCCCATCCATATTAGTAGCCCCCCTAAACCCTTCCAATTATTTTTCTACCTACCCCTCTCCCCCTATCCTTATTAGTAGCCCCCTAACCCTTTCCAATTATTTTTCTACCTATCCCTTCCCCCATCCATATTAGTAGCCCCCCTAAACCCTTCCAATTATTTTTCTACCTTTGTCCCCCCTTTTACCTGACATAGCAGGGGGACCTCTGGACATCTGGCAGGCGCAGTGTCAGACTGAGCGCAGGGTAGTCACGTGACACTTGGCCAGGGCCGGTGCAGGGATTTTTGCCGACCTAGGCAAAAGTAAAGTTTGCCGCCCCCCCCATGTGACATCACAATGCCCCACCCATATGATCTGCCATGTTAACTAACGCCAGTGCTGGAGTGCCGCCGTGTTTACATTAAAAGGTCTGCAGGGACAGGCTATAGACACCAGAACCACTACATTAAGCTGCAGTGGTTCTGGGGACTATAGTGTTTCTTTAATGTGAGGTAAATTAGAGATTAGTGCCACGAATAATATACTAGATTGCCTACTTAAAACCAGATGAGGATGATGATGGGCTCTAGCTGCAGTCTGGCTCCACATGTCTGGTGTAGAACAGGCTCTCTGGAGGCTGTTTGTAACTGTGGTCACAAAAATCAATGTTCTGGGAGAACGGGAAGCAGCTCCATTTTTTGGGGGCCCTTTACACAGCTCAAGGTCTGTGTCCCAGGGTCCACCTTCATGTTCCACCAATGAGTTTGTTCACAGGGGGTGGAGTGTGTAGGGGATGTCCTGATATGTGTGTAAGGAATGCATTGTGTGAATCTGTGTTTGTATGTGTAAGGGCTGCAAGGTGTGTTTCTGTGTATGCACGGGATGCAGTGTGTGCGTCTGTAAGGGGTGCATTGAGTGTGTGTACGGGGTGCATTTAGTGTGTGTAAGGAATGCATTGTGTGTTTCTGTGTGTGTAAGGTTTGCAAGTTTGTGCGATTGTGTGTGTGTGTGTGTGTGATGGATGTCAATCTCTCTACCTCCCTCGTCACTCTCTTTCTCCCCCTCCCTCGTCACTCTCTTTCTCCCCCTCCCTCCCTCCCTTGTCACTCTCTTTCTCCCCCTCCCTCCCTTGTCACTCTCTTTCTCCCCCTTCCTCCCTTGTCACTCTCTTTCTCCCTCCATCCCACTCCGCCCACATCACTCTCTTTCTCCCCCTCCCTCCCCTCCATTGTCACTCTCTTTCTCCCCCCTCCCTCCCCCTGCATTGTCACTCTCTTTCCCCTCCCTCCCCCCTCCATTGTCACTCTCTTTTCTCCCCCTCCCTCCCCCCTCCATTGTCACTCTTTCTCCCCCTCCCCTCCCCCCCTCCATTGTCCTCTCACTTTCTCCCCCCCTCCATTTGTCACTCTCTTTCTCCTCCTCCCTCCCTGTCAATTCCCTCCCCCCTCCCCCCCCACTCCCCTACCTTTGTTGTAAGGTGGCCGAGCCCTGTATCATGGTCCGCGGGTACAGGGAGCTTTTGTTTCCTGTACCCGGCTGGACTAATAGGAAGTGCACACTCAGTGTACCCGCGGACCATAGAGGGCTCGGCCACGCTACAGAGAGGGAGTGACAGGAGGGAGCGCTGAGCGCTTCCCTCCTGTCAGCCCCTCTCCTCTGGCTGCGCCCGGGCGGTGCGGTCTGCCCTCATGAGGGGGGCCGGCGTCGCTGGGGGGATATCCCCATAACCTGTCCCCCCCGCATGATTTGCTGGGGGGGATGCGTCCCCCCCATCCGCCCCGGTTCCTACGCCCATGCCCAGTGGTTCCCCACTTGCAAGATATTAGAATCTCATTTGAGAGGGCTGTACTGCAGATACCATCAAAGATAGCACCGAAGGCCCAAAGTGAACTGGAGGCCTCTGATTACTTCCAGGAGGGAGAGAAATCCTGGACCAGGAGAAGTTTACCAAACCTCTAATTGGGACGAGGATTTGTCACCTTTGACAAAGAGGGACATAAATAAGTTGTTAATAGACCTAGGAAGGGTCTGGAAAGCCGACCTGTTGGAGGCACAATCAGAAATGGGCATAATCCACCAAAAGGTGACAACAGTGGAAGAGAGGTTACAAGATAGTCAAGTTAACATCTCTTGACCCATCCTCCCCTTCTAACTATCGTCCCATATCCCTGCTCCCTTTCTCATCAAAGCTTTTGGAAAGACTTGTCTTTACCCGTGTGTCCGCTTCCTTAATTCCAACTCTCTCCTTGACCCTCTTCAGTCTGGCTTCCGCCCTCTCCACTCTACTGAGACTGCTCTTATCAAAGTGACTAATGACCTAATCTCCGCTAAATCCAAAGGTCACTAC